TAAACTGTGGTCAATGACATGAGACAAAGTATATGTGAACTGCTGTATAGAAAGTGAATTTGCTCTGTAAATCTTCACCCAAATCACAATAAAAAAGAAAAAAAAAAGCTTGCAAGCTGCCATCCAGATGCAAAAAAAAAAAAAAAAAGAGGTCAGTTGGACCATGGGGAAAAGATAAATTCAATTTTAAATGTGTTGAGTTTTATTTGAATTTAAAATTCAGATGGAAATGCTGTTGTTGTTAGGTGCCATCAAATTGGCTCAAACTCATCATGACCCTATATACAACAAAATGAAACACTGCCAACTCCTGCGCCATCCTCCCAATCCTTGCTATACTTGAGCTCGTTCTTCCAGTCACTGTGACAATCCATCTCATTGAGGTCCTCCCCTTTTCCTCTACTTTACCAAGCTTATCCTTTGGTAGGGAATGGTCCCTTCTGACAACATGACCAAAGTAGGTGAGATGAAGTCTGGCCATGTGCTGCATCTGTTTTTTGAGACATCTCAATGGGCATTCCATCAATTCCTGGAGCCTTGTTTTTCAATTCCTTCAGTACAAGTTGGACTTCTTCATTTAATACTATTTTTGTGATTTGGGTAAAATATTACAAAGCAGGTTCGTTTTACATTTTCAGTATTTCATACACATTTTGTTTTCAATACCATTAGTTCTTGATCATATGCTACCTCCTGAAATAGCTGAATGTTGATCAATTCTTTTTGGTATATTAACTCTGTGTATTCATTCCGTCTTCTTTTGATACTCTGTTTCATTCAATATTTTCCCCATAGAATCCTTCAATACTGATTATATTGAACCTTTTCTTCAATTCTTTCAGTTTGAGAAATGCCAAGCTTGTTCTTCCCTTTTGGTTTTCTAACTACAGGTCTTTGCACATTTCATTATAATACGTAAGGGGCAGGGAGGCAGCATCTTCTGACTTCCTATAACCCCACAAGAGGAGGACAGAATCACTATTAGGCCAAATATGCTGCCTCCTTCCAGCCCTTTCACCAACCCTGACACCAACCCTCCTTCCCATGGTACACACCACCTTTCTGCTGGGTTTCATAAGTCACTGCAGTGGCCACACAGAACTCACAGATTATGGGGTTTATTAGGGAAGCAACAGGCTGCAATTCAAGTTCAGGAATGTGCTCAGTATCTCACAGCTGGCTGTCTCACTCAGCAGCTGGCAGTCTCTCTAAGTCTCTTGGTAACATGTCTCTCTCAGCAGTGAGTGTCTCTTATGTCTCTCAGGAGTTTGTACCTCTTTTTCAGCAGTGTGTGTCTCTTGTGTCTCAGCAGCACACGTCTGTCACATCTCTCTCTCTTTCAGCAAGTGCATCTTTCTCAGCAGAGTGTTTCTCAGCCAGCAGTGAGAGATTTCTTAAGCTTTGAGGAAGGCTTCTTTTGGTCCTGAGAGAGTGGCCAAAACAAACCAATCCCAACACCAGAATTCTATACACCTGAGAGAGAGAGTGAACTTCCCAAAATATTGCTTCCTGCTGCTCCAACAGAAATAAACCAGGTGGATAACTTTAACAATCAGCTACTCACTGCAAAGTGGCAGTTACAAAAACTATGGCTAGAAAAGCTACACCATGTAATTTGTTACACTGCAAATACTTTGTCTTCTCATGTGACCTTTATAATCACCTGTTCAGCCCTTTTATTTCATCATTTCTTCCAATCACTTTAGCTACTTTCCGTTCAAGAGCAAGTTTAAGAGTCTCTTCTGACATCCATTTTGGTCTTTCCTTCCTTTCCTGTCTTTTAATGGCCTTTTGTTTTCTTCATGTATGATGCTTTTGATGTCATCCCCCAATTCATCTGGTTTTCAGTCATTGGTATTCAATGCATCAAATATATTCTTCAGATGGTCTTTAAATTCAGGTGGGATATACTCAGGGTCATATTTTGTTTCTCGTGGACTTGTTTGAATTTTTTTCAGCTTCAACTTGAACTTGCATATGAGGAATTCATGGTCTGTTCCATAGTCAGCTCCTGGCCTTGTTTTGACTCATGCCATTGAGCTTATCCATCACTTTTTTCCACCTTTTTCTAGA